AGACAAAGAAAGTTTGCAAAGTTACAAGCCAACCATTTAACTCAAGTAAGAAAACAAACCTATATTATATGGCTAATATCTGCTTATAAATGAGTATATACCATGTGTGTCTTTCTGGTTCTGGGTTACCTCACTCAGGTTGATATTTTACAGTTCCATCCAGCTGCCTGCAAATTTCATGATTTCCTTAATTTTAATAGCTGAATAGTAGTCCATTGTGTAAATGTGCCACAATTTCTTTTTATCCATTCCTCCTTTGAAGGGAGGAAGCTTAAATATCATTCATTCAGAAGGGCAAACAGGAAAAACACCAGAAGTGGTGGAAGAGAGGCAACACGATGGGAGCCTACTATAAAGAGTCCTCTGAAAGGCTCCACCCAACAGGGGATCGAAGTAGATGCTGAGACTCACAGCCAAACTTTGGGCAGAGCTCAGGAACTCTTATGGAAGAAGGGGAGCATAGAAGGACAGGGAGGGGACAGTAGATCCACAAGGAGACCAACAAAGCTAAAAACTATGAACCCAAGGGGTCCTGCAGAGATCAAGGACCAACCAAGAACCATGCATAGAGAGGACCTAAACCCCCTGCTCAGATGTAGCCAATAGTCTCCATGTGGGTTCCCGAGAAAGAGGAGCAGGGTCTGCCTCTAACATGAACTCACTTACCTGCTCTTTGATCACTTCCCCTTGGTGATGGGGCCTTGCCAGGCAACTAAGGAAGAAGATCCAGGCAGTCTTGATGAGAGTTCATAGACTATGGACAGAGGGCAGAGAAAAAGAACTCCCCATTTCAATGGACTAGGTGAAGGGGACAGGAGGGAAGAGGAAGAGAGGGTGGGATCCAGAGAAGTTGAGGAAAGGGACTACAATTGGGATATAAAATGAATAAAGAAAACAAACCTAAGAAAGTAGAGAAATGATAAATATATTTATATATCATATTTAATATATCATATCATAAAATAAAATATATTTTATTACAATTTATTTACTTTATATCCCAGCTGTAACCCCACCCTTGTCCTCTCCCAATCCTGCCCTCCCACCCTCACTCATCTCCTCCCATGCCCCTTCCCTAGTCTACTGATAATGGAGGACCTCCTCCCCTTCCATCTGACTCTAGCCTATCAGGTCTCATCAGGACTGTCTTTCATAGTCTTTCTCTGTGACCTGGTCAGGCTGCTCGCTCCTCGGGGGAGAGAAAATAGAGAAAATTCCAGTGAAAGAAAAACTACTAGATAATGAAAGTATCCCCAAAGCTCCAACTTGTCTTTCTTTTTCTTTGAAAGAAAAACAAAAATGACAAATTGCTGGCAAGTGAAGAGGCATTGATAAGCTCTGTCAGATACAAAGAAAGAGACATCACTGTAGAATGGATGATGTTATCAAAAAGAGGGTATTGTTGACAACTTTTAACAGATTGTTTTGAAACCTACACATTCCTAGGAAATGAATTTCCACAGATAATAAAAAAGAAACACAAGACATAAGCATCTCAATAACCACAAAAGAAATTGAATCCTAACTTAATATTTTTAATTTTTATTTTTATTAATTACAATTTATTCACTTTGCATCCCCTCTGTAGCTTCCTCCCTCTTCTCCTCCCAATACCACCCTCCCTCCCCATTCTCCACCCATGTCCCTCCCAAAGTCCACTGATAGGGTGGTCTTCCTCTCCTTCATTTTGATCCTAATCTATCAGGTCTCATCAGGAATGGCTGCATTGTCTTCCTTTGTGGCCTGGTAAGGCTGCTCCCCCATCAGGGGGAGGTGATCAGAGAGCAGGCCAATCAGAGACAGTCCCTGTTCCCATTACTATGGAACCCACTTGGATACTGAACTGCCATGGGCTACATCTGTGCAGGGTTTCTAGGTTATCTCCATGAATGGTCCTTGGTTGGAGTATCAGTCTCAGAAAAGAACCCTGTGCTCAGATTTTTTGGTTCTGCTGCTCTCCTTGTGGATCTCCTGTCCTCTTCAGATCTTTCTATCTCCTCCTTCTTTCATAAGATTTCCTGCACTCTGCTCAAAGTTTAGCTAAAAGTCCCAGCATCTGCTTTGATACCCTGCAGGGTAGAACCCTTCAGAGGCCTTCTATGGTAGGCTCCTGTCCTGTTCCCTGTTTTCTCCCTCTTGTGATGTCCATCCTCTTTGCCTTTCTGATTGGGGATTGAGCATCTTAGCCAGAGTCCTCCTTCTTGATTAGTTTCTTTAAGTGTACAGATTTTAGTAGGTTTATCCTATATTACATGTCTATATGAGTGAGTATATACCATGTGTGTCTTTCTTCTTCTGAGATAGCTCACTCAGGATGATCTTTTCCAGTTCCCACCATTTACCTGCAAATTTCATGATTTCCTTGTTTTCTATTGCTGAGTAATATTCCATTCTGTACATGTACCACAATTTCTGTATCCATCCCTCAACTGAAGGGCATCTGGGTTGTTTCTAGCTTCTGACTATTATAAATAAAGCTGCTACAAACATGGTTGAGCCTATCCATATTATGACTCAGTTACATTTTTCTATTTAAGCTGAACAGCCACAAACCGAAAAAGCAACTTTTGAGTATAAATACTTCATAATATCACCAAAAAGGCCAGGCGCAGGGGCAGACTCCTGTAATCTCAGCACTCAGGGAAGCAGAGGCAGGCAGATCTCTATGAGTTAGAGGCTGGCCTGGTCTGCAAAGTGAATCCAGGACAGCCAAGGCTATACAGAGAAACCCTGTCTCAAAAAAAGAAGAAGAAGAAGAAGAAGAAGAAGAAGAAGAAGAAGAAGAAGAAGAAGAAGAAGAAGAAGAAGAAGAAGAAGAAAGAAAAGCTTTAACATTTCAAAATAAAACAGGATATTTTTACGGCATTAAGGGACGTGAAGCATCTTGAATGAAACATGCATAGCACTAATCACAAGTAAGAAGTTCACAAATCCAACTATATCAAAAGTAATAACAAATATTATTAAGATATATAACATATAACATGTATAAATAACATATATATTAATATATATTAAGAAAAGTGAGCCACAAACTTGTGAGTTGTAGATGTAAGCAATGCTGACAGATTAGTTTAAAAACTTATCTTCTGCCACACATCAACATGAAACAAAAAATTATATAGAAACATATTCATTCTTAGTAACTTGAAAATTGAAAAGGAAGTCATGTTTGACAATCACGAGGAGTGTTTGGAATAGCAGGAATGTTTGGCAATACCAGATGCTGACAAATGTATGAATCAAAAGGAAGGCTCATAAACTGACAGTGGCCATGTAACTTAAAAACAATGTTTTGGAATTGAATAATAAAATTTACTGCACATACTCGTAGCATAGCCATTCTACTCCAACATTTTAACCTTTTAGAATGTTGATAGTAACATGTGCTTATATAAAGGAATCTTGAAAGATCTAAATCCCCATTGTCAGAAAAGTTGATAAATTAATACAATGAGATACGATACCACAAATTACCAAAGAATATATAACGGCAATACATTATTATTATTACTACTACTGTTGTTGTTGTTAACAATTTATTCACTTTGTATCTCACTTTTAGCCTCCTCCCTCATCTCCTCCCTGTCCCACCCTCCCTTTCTCTTTCTCCCCTATCCCTCTCTTCTAATCCACTGATAGAAGTCTTACTCCCCTACTGTCTGACCCTAGTCTATCAGGTCCTATCAGGACTACCTGGATCCTCCTCTTCTGTGGGCTGGCTAGATTGCCCCACCAAGGAGAAGTGATTGAGGAATAGGCAACCAATTTCATGTCAGAGACTGTCTCTTCTCCTCTTACTAGGGAACTCACATGAAGACTGAGCTGTCTATGCCCTACATCTGTGCAGGGGGTCTAGGTTCTCTCTATGTATGGTCTTTGGTTGGCGCATCAGTCTCTGCAGCCTCCATTGAACCCTGCTATTTTGAGGGGAGGGCTTTGTTGGTATCTTCGTGGGGCTCCTGTCCCCACCTGGTCCTTTTATATCCCACTTCTTCCATAAGACTCCCTACACTCTGTCCAAAGATTGACTGTGAGTCTCTGCATCTGTTTCGATCCCCTGCTGGTTGGAGGCTTTTTTTTTAGACAACAGCTGTAGTAGGTTCCCATCCTGTTCCCTCTCTTCTACCACTTCTGCTGTCTATTCTGTTTTTCTTTCTGAATGAGAAATAAGCATCTTCCCTAGGATTCTCCTTGTTGTTTAGCTTCTTTAGGTCTGTAGATTTTAGTATGATAAGTGTCAATACATGTCAACAGTTAAGACTTACTTGCATTTGGGTGAAAAGAAAAAGACACAAAATATATTCAGAGTATACAGTTCTGATCATAGTGGGTGTGTACATGGGTGTGTGTGTGTGTGACAAAACTGTACTGAAAAACAAGAAGTGATCAGTAAACAAGAAAGACTCTTTTGCAGGGTAAAATAGAACTACAATGAGAAGCAAGGTGAAAATATGGTCTCCTCATGTGGTGGAAACTGCTTTCTTGAGTTGAATGGTAGACATGACCTCTTCATAGCATCAGCCTACTCATGCATATATAGGCTCTCTGTAGTCTTCTCTGTGTGTCATGCATTCCACAGTAAAACAATCAGCTTGACTGCCAGATGCTCCAGAGCTGCAACTACTCCTCCATAAGACAGTACAAGTAGGTGCCAAAGGATGAATTAGACAAGGCATTTCTTCAGGCTGTGATTTGATGCTGAAACTTGGGCCTTTTGTTTCTTGCTGCTCTATTTCCTCATCTACTGTTAATGTAATATTAGCCATTCTTTTACAAGTTAAAACTCTCCCACAACCTGAAACATAAATCTTACTGGTCAGGGTAATATGTTGTAGATATTTCTTCCTTCAGAGAGCCTTTAGGAACAGTTACTTTGGCACTTCAGTTAGTAGGAGGAGTGGGCTAAAAGGCTTTTGGAGGGTATCAATGGTTTCTGGACAGCTATTCAGTGATTCTTGTCAAAATACCACTCTCAGAATTCTCCTTCTTCTCTGCAGGAGCCAGTCTGCGTGATGATTTGTACAAATATTTTTTCTTCCATCATTCCCACGGAGACACTATGACTGCCTTGGATCCAAAGCAGATGAATGTTGCTGCTGCTGTTTGGGCTGTTGTCGCTTACACTGTTGCAGACATGGAAGAAATGCTGCCCAGGTCCTAAGGAAAACAAGAAGGAAGGTCTTGATCTCTCTGGCTAGGAATCCTAGCTCTGCATTTTCACAAAACAGTGTTATGCACTTAATCTACAAGGCACAGATTTCTTTATACTTTTTGCTAATCATTGTTTCTTGATACTTTAACTGCTTCTAGAATAAGGAATGCTCACCACTACTCCACAGAATCAGTACCATCTTGAAAATATTGTTTCCAGTTTAAAAATAAGCAATAAATCTTTGAAAAACCTCTGATTTTCCATATTAATTTATAAACATTAAATTAAAAATAATGAGACCTGAAGAGATCCAAGATGGTGGCACCAACCACGCATGATATTTGAACAGCAGCTTAGCAGTGAGAGCAGAGCAACTGACTGGCAGTACTGTGGACAGCAAAAACCCGACATCTGGGTTTCTCAGGTGAGAAGAGAATCCACAGGGAGATGCTAGGGTCTAATCCCGGGGAAATCTCCCAAGCTCACACCTCATACACAGCAGCCCAGTGCTATGCCTGTAGACACCTTCCTGATATCAGCAGCTCATGGCTCCAACCTCAGGCACCCATTCTCCCTGTCCAAGGGGTAGATACCTGCTGGTAATGGAATGTTCCACTCCAAACCAGGGGTCCACTTTCATAGCACCATGGTCAACTTCTGGGAACTTGGAGCTTCAGGCTCCAAACTTGGATGCCCACACTTACTGTCCCTTTGAGAGGATATATTCTGGTACCGGGGGTGCACAGCTTCAAACTTGGGGCCCACTCTGACCATTCCAGGTACGCTGCTACAATATTGGGTCTCCTGATGCTTAGGACCCATGGAGACAACCTAAGACACTGCTCCAAAGTTTAACTCTTCTCCCTAAAGAGACCAGCATGACCTCTAAGCCCACAGATTCTCTTAAAAGGCTGTGCCCAGCAAGCAGTGTCTGACTATAGGGTCTGGGTTCATTAACCTCAGAGCAAGAAAGCCAGTGGTAAGGTAGCTGACTCTAGGACTTTCCTTGGCAACAGGTGAATCCCTGAGCTCCTGAGGACTCCACTTGGTCCCCAGGATCATACATCAGAGGAGAGCCTCAGGCAAGTCCCTGAGATCTACCCACCAGTCCAAGATCATTCCCACCAATCTGAGAAGGGCTCTTGCAGGAACATTCACCTTCTTGCCCAGGGTTCTTCCCAAATTCCTAAGAATTCCAGTAGGCAACAGGATCTAACAGCCAATGTCAGAGACAGCCAGATGACTAAAGGACAGAACAATATGGCATCCCCAGAACCCACTTATTCCAAGGCAAGCAACCCTGGATACCGTAGCACAATTGAAACACAAGAAATTGACCTTAAATCTATTCTTATGAAGATGATAATGGAGGAAACAAATAAAATTTGTAAAGAAATACAGGAAGGTACAGTCAAATAGATTGAGGCCTTTACAGAGGAAATAAATAAATCACTGAAAGAAATACAGGAAAGTACGATCAAACAGGTGAAGGAATTGAAAGGCAGGAGAACACTAACAAACAGGTGAAGAAAATCAACAAAACAGTTTAAAATATAAAGATGTAAAGAGAAACACTAAAGAAAGATCAAACTGAAGAAATCCTGAAGAGGGAGAATGTAGGGAAGGAAATAGGAACTGCAGAGGTAAGTATCACCAACAGAATACAGAGATGGAGGAATCTCTGGTGTAGAAAACACAATGGAAGAAATCAATACATTTGTCAAAGAAAATCTTAAATCCAAAAAAATTCTGAAACAAAATCTGGGACATCGTGAAAAGACAAAATTTAAGGATAATGGGAATAGAGAAAGAAGATTCCCAGCTCTAAGGACCAGAAACTATTTTCAACAAAATCATGAAAGAAAATTTCCCCAATCTCAAGAAAGAGAAGTCTAAAAACATATAAGAGGCTTACAGAACACCAAACAGATTAGACCAGAAAAGAGAACCCTCCTTCCACAAAATAATCAAAACACTAACTGTACAGAACAAAGAAAAATATTAACAGCTACAAGGGAAAAGGCCAAGTAACATTCTGATAGGCAAACCTATCAGAATCACAACTGACTTCTCAGTAGAGACCATAAAAGCCAGGAAGGCCAGGGCAGACTCTTGCAAACTAAAGAGACCACAGATGCCAGCCCAGACTACTATACTGAGCAAAATTTTCAGTCACCATAGTTGGAGAAAACAAGATATTCCACAACAGAATTAAATTTAAATAATATCTATGCACAAACCCAGCCATACAGAAGATACTAGAAGAAAAACTCCCACCTAATGAAGTTAACTACATTCCCCCTAAAACAAACACACAAACAAACAGGATATACATAACCTCCCTACAGCAAAACCAAAAGTAGACAAGCACACAAACATACACCACAAAAAGAAAGAAAGAAAGAAAGAAAGAAAGAAAGAAAGAAAGAAAGAAAGAAAGAAAGAA